TTTGGAAAGATACAAGCACCAACGACGAAGACGAAGAAATAATAACCATTGTAGTTCGTTGGGTCCTCTTGGGAGGGTTGAAAGTTGATGTATAATGTGGAACCTTTGAGCACCAACAAGTTATCAATATGATTTAAGATGCTATTCTTGTAAGAAAAACTCATAATCTCTAAAGCTTAAAGTTCATAACCAAAGTATGAACTTTAAGGGATAAAAGAATGAAAACAAACTTCAAAAGGGGTGAACAAATGAGAGAGAGAGAGAGAGCACCAAGCTCTCTCACTTACCGTTTTGCATTAGACGGAAAGAATAAATGAAAGCCTTTACATAAAGTCATTTCTTAACGGATAGTCCATAAGACTTTTAGGTGCACCATGCACCTAAAGCCTAATGGTTCCCCATACTCGTAAGTCATGTATTCTTTTGATTAAATTAATCAAAACCCATGCCTTATTTTTCCTTCTTCCATTTTCAAAAATTGCAAGTAGAAAAGAAGAGCCAAAATTTTATAAACTTGTAATCTCTTTAATAATTTATAAGCTTTGTCATTTCACTAAAAGACAAAAGTATTTCTAGTCCAAAATGTTGTGCATGACTTATTAATTCGTACCATATGGAATATGTAATGTTACTTGCTAATGAAAATTATTATTTCCATAAAATAAATAATTTCTAATTAATTATAAGAGTTTATTGAATATTTATTAAAATCAATTTCAAATAAATAATCACTTATATCAAGTTGTTGTTAGTGAAACCCTTAAGATCATATGTTAATTAGCAATATAATTTTAATATGATTCATGAGCATACAAGATCTTTCAATCTCCTACTTGCACAAGACTCGTAGTAGATTGATATAGACAGTGGTGAACGTGTAGCAACATTTCCCTATCCCCCCATCAACATAGGACTTTGTTCCAATAAATCAATGTCCAATTCCTAAAAAGCTTAAGGCTACAATTAGTGTATAAGGTAAGTTTAACTGTTATCCCTTTCTCACAGACATTATATTGAACACGAGATTCAGATCATGACCAATATCATTAGGTGTTAAACTTTCGGTAAGGCACCTTAGATGTCTAACTCTCAACTCATAAGAGGAACAAATCCTATATTGACTGCATAAGCCTCTTTTATAGCTCACACCATACCTGAAAATGGATTTTATAATAGCCCGGTTAAGGATCAACATTTGACTATATCAAAGCACAACACTCCCTACACTTATGTCCCACCATGTATCTTAGGTATTAAGGATACAAATATAGTACCTTTTAATCAAGTATCACTCATGATATCGATCCATGAGGTGATCTTGATGCGGGTCAGTTGAATACTAGTTCTCTAACAAGTATCTATGAAACTTGGTTAGAGCCCATTACCTACTTTCATTTGGTGAAAGTCGACCAATCCAATTCATATTATTCTTAATGCATAATTGCTCCCAAAACTATAACCGATGTTGAACTTTTAGAATAAAAAAATTATTCATGGATTAAACATGTTAATCTATAACACAACAAGTAATGATGTTTTGATCATATCCAAGTATATCAAAACATTATACAATAGTTGTTGTCACAATGTTCCAATATCCAAATACTAAATCCAAATGTAAATCTCATTTCTAGAATAATAAAGTCTTATAGATGGGTTCGACTACACTTAATTTGTGTGAATTCTGTGAATACTAGCATCTCTATATTTCACTTTACCCTAGACATAGTTAAATATCTTGAACTATATGATTGGTGATCTTTTGTGACATAGTATCTTATCATGATTAAGTATACTCTCAAAGTCACATTGATTTCTATGCGATCTTCAGTGGTACAAATCAACATAGATTTTTAATTAACTCATTCATCCAATCGCATTTGATTTCAACTTCTAAAGTAGTGTATTCTTATTTTGTAGTAAATTATTTCATTATGTTTTTCTTGGATCTCTTTCCATCTAAACTTACTCTTCATCCCACAAAGAAGTCAAAAACCAATTATTCCTAGAAGTTAGTAATAATTGGTTTTTGACTTCATTGTGGGGTGAAAGTAAGTTTAGTTGGAATGAGGTCCACGAAAAACAAAATGACACAATATACTACAAAATAAGAATAGATTACTTTGGAAGTTGAAATCAAATACGATTGGATGAATGAGTTCATTGAAAAACTATGTTGATTTTCATCCATTCAAGGACCAGATAGAAATCATTATGACTTTGAGAGTATACTTAATCAAATTAAGAGACTCTATTTCACAAAATAGCACCAATAATATAAGCAAAGATATTTAACTATACTTAGAGTAAAGTCAAATACGTATATGATAATATTCGCAGAATTCACACAAAATAAGTTTAGTTAAAGCCATTAATTGATTCCTTCTTCTAAGCTAAGTATGAGTGGTCACTCTTCAATTATAACACTATGTTATTATAGAAATTTGAATTTTGATTTGGATTTAGCATTTGGATATTGGAACATTCTAACACCAACTATTATATAGTGTTTTGATATAATGGGATATGATTATAACATCAATACTTCCTGTGTTCTATATTAACATGCTTAATCCATCCATAATCTTGTTATTCTAAAAGTTTATAGTCGTTTATAATTTTGGGATCAATTATAAAGTACACAAATTACCCAAAACCATAAGGACCATTCATGTAACTTACTCTATTCTAAAAGTACATAATCAGTTATAATTGTGTGATCAAGTTTCATAGGTACTTGTAAGAGAACTACTAATGAACTTACCCTCATCCAGATCACCTCATGGATCGTTATCATGTGTGATAGTTGATTAAAAGGTACTATCTTTGTATCCTTAACACCTGAGATACATAGGGAGACTTAAGTGTAAGAAGTGTTGTGCTTTGATATGGTCAAATGTCGGTCCTTAATCGAGCATTTATAAAAGCAATTTTTAGGTATGGTGTGAACTACGCAAAAGGCTTACGTAGTCATGATAGGATTTATTACTCCTATGTGTTGAGAGGTAGACATCAAAGTCACCTTACCAAAACTTGAACACCACATGATATTGATTGTGATTTGTATCTCATCTTCAATATCATGTCTATGACAAAGGGATAACTGATAAAATTACCTTATACACTAATTGTGTTGGATTAAGTGTCTAAGCCCATTACCATAATTGGTATGTTCTTGACCCGAGAGTAACATGGTCCATTTGGGTTGCCTTCACTAGAACAATCTGATAGGATGGATATTTGAGAAAGAGGCTATCTATGATTTACTAATATATTATAAGTATAATATATTAATTGAGAACTCATAATATTTAATTAGTTTTGATCAAGAATTAATTTGGAATTAATTTAGTGATCAAAAGAGACTAATTAAATTAACGGGGACTGATTATGTAAATCAGTGATATATATATATATATATATATATATATATATATATATATATATATATATATATATATATATATATATATATATATATATTGTTTGGGCTATTGATTTATGATGGGCTAAGTTTATGTAAGTATCAATGAAGAGTTAGCCCATATGAGATATGGATCATAACCTAAGTGTATGGATTAGGGTTTACCCATGACTCTTGGAATCCTATAATATATATATGTGTTATACCTTAGCTAAAATCGCCCTAAGTGTTCTAGGAAGAGAGAGATAGCCGATTTTGGAGTGTCTAGCCTCTCTCCCAATGTCGTCTGTTGTTTATGGTGTTTGTGAACCACTATAGGCATCACACTTGAGGTGATAAGCTTTTGAAAGGCTAATAGCTAAAAGCTACCAAAAGAGATATTATGCTAACTAGTTTTATGATTTATGTACCAAAATTGTATGCTAGTTGTAGGCTTCATGCTTTGGAAATTTTATTGCATGTATAACTAGAGAAAACTTAGATGATAGAATGGTAAAAATTTGTTTGTTGATAAGGGCAGTGAAAGGTTGGTAGATGTTCTCTATTGTCTATATCAGTCTAATATGAGTTTTGCGCAAGTGGGAGGTTGAAAGATCTTGTATGCTTAAGAATCATGTTAAATTGGTACTGCTAATTAACATATGATACTAATGGGTCACACTAACAACAACTTGATACAATTGATTATTTATTAGAAATAGGTTTTAATAAATATTCAATAAACTCTTATCATTAATTGGAAAGTGTTTATTTCTAGGAAATAATAATTTTCATTTGCAAGTAACATTACATAATTCATATGGTATGAATTAATAAGACATACACAAAATTTGGAGTAGATAAATTCTTTTGTCTTTTACCAAAAAGTTGAAATTTATATTTTATAAAATTGGTTTATAAAATATAAAAGTTTTGTGTTCTTTTTAACTCTTAATTTTGAAAATAAGAGAAGAAAAAAGGATGGCATGGGCTTTGAATTAGTTTAATCAAAAGCATTGCTTACCTTCATGGCATGGGAGACAAAATAGCTTTAGGCAAATAAGTGCTTAACTAGTTAAGGAGAAGTGCTTTCACTACTAGAAAAACAGCCTTTTACGACGCTCATTGCACGTCCTAAAAGGCTCAGACGACGCGCAAAAGCGCGTCAAGGAAGGCCCTGTCATAAAGAGAGACGACGCGTATTTACGACGCGCGTTTACGACACGCAATGCGTATCAAGAAATTCCCTGTCATAAAGGAAGACGACACGCATTCGCGTGTCGTAACCTTACATCGTGCGTGTTAATGACACACATTGCGTATCAAGGAAGTCCCTGTCAAGAAAGGCCATATCATAAATGAAGATGACACACATTTTTGCATATCATAATTGTAAATGTTAAAAAAAAAAGTTATTTATGGATTTACTTATTTTCAAATTAAATTTGTGTTTAATGTTTCATAATAGAAAATAAAATATCATATACAAAATATAGAATCCATTTCATAAATTTAATGCCATACAAATAATCGTTCGAACAACTAAGGGGATCCGATTGTACATTGTTATTAAGAAGATGGAAGTATATTGTTATAATTAGAAAATAAATGAGTACAATGCGCTACGTTTGGTTCCTCTTATATAGTTTCCATCTTCAAGATTGCTATCCAATAAGCTTTTAGTATTTGCATGTAGAAATTCCATTGCAAAATGCACACGTGATAGCTCATGTCCAGGAACAGGGAGGTCTCGTGACTTTGTTGCCCCCACTGCTAAAATAACCGCATCATTCTCTTCGCGAAGGCGTTCAATTGAGTACACCGGATTGCTTCCTATTTCCAGGACAGAGGAACTGAAAATTTTATTACAACTCATTGTTTACCAACAAAACAAATTATATGATTATGATTACCTACCTACAAAAGTGGGCCCTAGCAATCCAGAATTGGGATTTTTTTCCTTCTCAAATTAGATTTAAGCCAAGTGTGGGACTACTGCTTGTAAGAATGCAATGTTGAGGGGAATCACAAGGACTGGACCATGGTGTTTGGATCACAATAACAAACCTACATACACAAAGCACAATTTTATTATTTCTGGAACCTATTAAGGATATCACTCATTGTAAGAACTAGAAAAGGATGAAAAGTTTTTAGGAAATCATATGGAGTTACCGAGCTGCAAGGGTCATCCATGTGTTGTTCTTTCTACAAATTACACCACATATTTCCGAATTAAATCTGACAGTAAGGTGACTGACTATGCTACAAAAAAATGCATAATTAACTCCTTTTTATCTTTATCACAAACTATTATGTGAATCCGATATGGTTGTATTTTTTTATTCCATATTCGAGTACCCAACAAAGATTTACATAACATCCATGGATGGCAACAAGCAGGGAAGCACAACGGTATTGCTTTTTTCAATAAAAGCTACAAGTATATGCACAGCTAAGAACTGAATAAGTTAAATAAACCTAATCTTTTCAGAAAGTTTCATGTGAAACTGGCATGAGGCTTTTACCTTTTACCATGAAAAGATCACTGAATAAAGGATTTGCAACAGAAGTCACAAAGGGCTTACAGGGTAGTATAATGCACTTACAGTTGTGTTGGTCAACGGCTTAACAATGTGGTAGTATAATGAAGTAAGTGTGTCCCCCTTGTCATTCCTGTTACAATACTAAATTAATTAATCATCAACATAATTACTTTAAAAGATTAATTTTTTATATAACAAAATAAAGAGCTCAACAGGTGAAAGCGGCAATAAGATTTGGATTAGAGAAGCTAATTCCAACATTGTATTTGGTGAAATTTCCAGTTTTGGCATCAAATGAAACATCGGTTCTTGAGCCAACATTGGTCCCCACCACACCAGAAAAGTTGACTATTGGGTTTGCGGTCAACCCGACACTTGTAGTTCAATTATCTTGTTCTCAAGTCCTTTTGGTGCATATCGATAGGCTTGGTAGCCAAAAGTGGTCTCATCTAGGTGAAAACCTAACATAGACATTATGTCGAGCACCTTGTGGGCGTGCATCAGTAACTGACCTAACAGAGACTGATTCGTGTTCATGATGATACCCTCCAAAGCAGCTTTATGAGTAGACAAATTAAGTGTGGGATATATCAACCATTAGTTCTGATATTGCATAAGAAATATATAAAATGAAAAAGCATGTATATGCAGTTGTAATGTAAACAATAAGTGATGATATAGTTTATAATTTGAACATGTATTGATTTTAAGGGGTTAGAAGAAACATGTTAACGATAAGTAAGTGCATAAAGTTAGGGATAAGCATCTCCAAATCTAAATTTTTTGACCCCAAATAATCACAAAATCATAATCATAATCACTTTTGTCAAACACTTTAAACTTATCATTGGTACTTGAAATCACAATAATTAGTTTAAACACATGTGAAATGTATTAGATTTGACCTGGAAAACCAAAGTGTGACTCCTTTTTTAAACATATAAGTGATGATCCTAGAGATATCATATATGATGAGTATATATTCTTAGGAAAAAGATATGGTAGATTATAACTTATAAGTTTAAAAGGTACTACCAGATTGTGTAACAACTTGAAAAGACATATTGCCACATTGGATGTTATATCCAAATAAAATGTGATTCATTTCTGGTCTTTTGTTTATATATGGTATAGTAGAAGTAAAGCTACATTTCACATTTTCTATCTAATACTATTTGGTGGATGATAGAAGAAGGCTACAATCTACCATGTAGTGTCTTTCTGTAATGAATTGTTGGCTTAAATGCATGATGCTTGATCCTTACAATCAAACAGATCATCCAGAGTGTAAGTCACATCTAGATAGTGGCCTTTCAGCTATCACAAAACTTGACCCAGGTTATATAACAGGTAACATTCTTTTCATCTCTCCATCTGTATATACATAAACACACACACTTATACGCTATATGTAAGTTGTAACATATAGTCCCTGAATGTGAATTCTTGATTATCAGGTCCTCTTTCATCAGTATGGAAAGAATGGTGCATTGAATTTTGGTTTGAGGCAAATGCTATTCTTGCTGTTCCATATGATTGGAGATTGTCACCATCAAATCTTGAAGAATGGGATTTGTACTTCCACAAGCTAAAGTTTGTATTCAGTTATTATATGATCTGAATCATAATAATTTTGAAACCCACAATTTAATTTTTTTTTTTAATTTCTTTGCAGACTTACCTTTGAAACAGCTCTGAAGAATTTCCCATTGCTGCCACCATCACCTGTGGCAGCAGTGTTCCACATGTACGTGACAGTACGAAGACTTTCTGTAACCACCATTTATTATTCTTTTCCATGCTTCTATCCTTTTTGAGTATAGTAGGGTTAAAACTTTATTCAATTGGATATTGGGGAATGAGAGTCGATAACATAAGAGCAACCACCATTGATTATGTATTTAGAATCTTTTTTTGATCTGTAGATGTCTACATCTCTGTGTTGGGGTTTCTTTTTGCTGAGAAAGTACCATGCATTTACTTATTTATTAAGGTCGTTTTATGGACACAGGACTTGAAATCAAGAATAAGGTTCCCTCACCACTTTACAATCAGACACTCGCCACAATTCTGGTGGAATATGCGTCTACAGTAAGATAAACATGATACCGTGAGACATTATGGAGTAATTAAGTTAAGTAGAAGAATTAATAATAAAATAAACAGGTTTACATGTCAGATTTAACATTTTTACTTGGACTTATTCAAGATGTGATGGCCTTACCATGGTACTTGGCACAGTTTATATGAAAACTGAAAAACAGTATTTTTCAAATTATGTTGATTTTGTTGTTATCTTGAATCATGGTTTTGAAGTATTAGAGCTGATTGTTGATGTTGAGAACTGTCTTCAGGCATTTGTTGGGGTTGCAGATGATCTGGATGCAATTGTTATTGCATTTAGAACTGTTCCCTAACACCCTGAGTTTAGTTTCATCACCATCATCCAGTTTAGATACATCAAGACAGTTTGCAAAAATTTGAAAATACAACAAATTATGAGGTTACATACACTCTAGTAATTTTTACACTTAGAAGGAAGATTTACAGGTCTCAGGCACATCAAAAACTTGCTTGAATCACCAACAATGCAAATACATACGAAGAACAATCATTTATTTAGACTCTTCCATTAGTCCCTGCAACCGTTGAAATTATTTTCTTGCACTACCCTGTATCAACATACAAAAACCAACAATCATACTCACACATATATATTAACATGTATATTGTATATATAAAAAAAAGAAAAGAAACTGAATATTGCCTCTGGAATGCCGAGTAAAGTAGAGGGATAAGGCTGAGAGCTCCCTGAATCTTTAGCACTATCCACCACATCAACATTATTTCAATCCATTAATATTTTATGCCACTCTTTGCATTCTTTTGACTTGCAAAAAATGCACTGCACAAACATGTAACAAGCCAAACTTTTTAATATATTTTAAAAAAAATTAAAAAGTTCTCCTATAACAATTTCCTTTCTAAAGGAATAACCTGATGCAGGACCTTTGAGAGGAACTTTGATTATTCATCATTGATGTATTTGAGGTTGTGGGAACATAAAAGTTTCCAGTTCGAGAAGAATTAGTGGTCCTACTCCCATAACCATCACCTGCAAAGTATACGCATTAAGTACCCCATCAACATTAAAGAGGATACTACACTGAAAAAAGCAGAGAGAGAGAGAGAGAGAGAGTACCTTGTGACATCTGTTGTTGATGGACATTCATGTTTCCATAATGAGAAGGTGTCACATAGCTTTCTGAGGTTCCTAAAGCATTCATCATAGGTGAATTCTTGGGCATCATTCCTAATCCGTTGTTTATTGAGCCATTTGAAAAGCCATAAGCTTTTTGTTGTAAACTAGACCTGATTCCCCCACCCATATGGCTCTCAAGGCTATGTAATATGCGACTGTTCTGGCCACCAACTTGCTGCTTCTGGTTCAGTGGTTGAGATACCATTGTCGAGTCAATAGTCGATAGCCCAACAACATTGTTGGACATATCTGTTTTCATGTAAGACTGATTAGTATTACTATTATTAAATCCAGGAGTAGGCATCATCTGGTTGCTCATTCTTTGTGCCCCCATTAATGAAATCAAACTGCTTCTGGTTCATGTAAGACTGATTAGTATTACTACCATACTTCTGTATCATGTGAATTATTAGTTGTTTTTGCACTTTACAAAAGTAAATAATGGGTAAAACCCAGCCTAACATGCCTTCCGAGTTGGATAAAGCTCAATGTTTACACCTCTAGATATATCTAACATTCAATTTTATTTTATCAATTTAAGACAAAGTCTTTTAACTCTCTAGTCTCTAGCAATTAGCACAATATGGTTTGTCTTGGAAGAACAAAATGTCTTCTTAACTGAATCCATGAGGGAATAAATCATTCGCCCTCAAGGGCATAGATTCAAAATTGATTTTTTTTTTTGTAAAACCTATCAGTACTGAAACAAATCATCCACAAGAATTCACTTGGCATTTGAAAAGTATCTAAATTGAATTCAAAGACAGATTTGAGCTCATTTTTTTGTAGGAATAGGAGTAGCAACTATAAGTATAAGTTAAATTCTCTTTACCCATGTACCAGAATCATTCACCATTCATAGTCCACAACAAAGAGACCAAAACCCTAACTTATCAGCAAAAATAGACAGAAAGAATCAAAATAGTAAACATGTGGATGTGTGTGTGGTGCTGTGTGCGACTGTGAACAACTATCATAATGGGATTAAGAAGAAAAAAAGTAGGGGAGATGGATGTCTCACCTGAGACATAAAAAAACGAGAATAAGGGAGATGGAATGGAGCGTACCTGAGATGCTTAGAGAGTAGAATTGGGGATCAAGGAAGGAGGAGGAAATCACGATTAATATCTGTATCGCTTTTCTAGTTAGGGTTTTACAGAGGAGAATACAAGAAGAATCAAAATTGAAATCAGAGGCATGAATAAAGGAGAAAGAAGAGCAATTTTTACAATACAGAGGAGTGCACCTTACCAAATAATCCTTCGATTGACTGCAATTTGGAGTCAAATTGATATTGATTCAGCTAGATAATACCAATTTCGATTTCAATTTCATATACTCTAAGTCTTTGTGGCCTATAAAACACGGTGTGTGGCTGATGATGCACAACCTGCGAGCTGCTGATACGAGCTATTGGTTTGTACCCAACGCTTTACCAGCAATACCTTCTCCCGATACGAGCTGCTGGGTTGAGGTCGCCTCAAAGAACCCTAAAATCTCTGGATCGAACACATACGAAGCGGATTCAATCACATAAATGGGCCCAAATCTTCCTTCACATGGGCCCCATGTTTGCCTTGTCTAATTACTGGAAACCATAGTTGAACAAGAATGTATGTGTCCATTATGCATTTTTCATTCAATAGCAAAGTCTTGAACCGATCGATCATCAAAGAATTCTTGATAGTCATCAAGAGGGTTCAAATTTGTTTCCTCTGGGGAAACGATTGGATCAAAACATCCCATGAATATGTCTGTGGAACTAAAGTAAGAAGGTGAAAAATCCAAAAGGGTTGAAGAAGACAGATTAGGACTACTAAAAGCAAGATTGTTTTCTTTTATGGATCCAAACATGGTGGTATGATTGTCCATAAAAAAATTCTTTCTTCTTCAAGTCAAAATTCTATAACAATTAACTTCAACATTAATCTAACCTAGGGCTTGTAAACTTGAGCAATCGTTGCAGTCTCTGGTGAGGTGAAGTGAGCTCGAGGTCGCCGGCGGAAAGATATGAGTCGAGGTCAGAGGTGAGTTGAGGTAGAGTACTCCTTGAAAAATCCCTAGATAATGATACTTGCACGTCAGCGAGGATGTGAACCTGAAGCGGGCCCTCAATTCTTAATTCTACGCTGGAGTACTTGATCTGAGATACGAGCTTGGTTGCGTTATTCTTTTAGGATAAACAAAAAGGATTTTGTAGTGGTGGAGGCGGATTAGGGTTTACAGAGAAAATGAGAAGGAGAGATTGAAGGTTGTCAGCTGGTGGCGTGCTTGCCTTGATCAATGTCGACGATCGGGAATGGAAAGGAATGATGGTCAAAGTGTGAGGGAAGAAGTAGGTGGCAGTCAATGTCGGCAGGGGGAAGGAAGGAGCGTTGATAATTAGGGCAAGAGGGAAAGGAAGAAAAAGGAAAGCGGGGATTTTAATTTTTTAGGAGTTCATTTTCCCCCTCGGCTACTAAAGGATGGAAGGCACGTTTCCATTAAAATTTATAAAGCAACATCCTCAGACGACACACGTTTTATTATAGGCCCCCTCCATATTTTTTTTAGACACTAATTTAAGGGCACGCAAAAATGCACGCCCTAAATCCTTAAAATTTATAGAGATATGACATTATTTTTAGATCACACACTTTTGCATATCATGAATCAATGCGTATCATAAATTGCGCGTCGTAAAAGCCTGTTTTCTAGTAGTGTTTATGCAAGGCTTTCATATTCTTTTTCTTCTAGCCTTGTAAAACAGTAACATGCATGCATGTGGTATTCTCTCTCCCTTGTGGTTCATTACTTGAACAATACTTCCTTTCTTCTTCTCTCTTGAATTTCATATTTGTTATGAACTTCAAGCTTAAGAGTTAAAATTTTATGGAATAGAATCTACATCAAGTTGAGTTATTGTTGGTGTCTTAAAATTTTTACATTCTCCATCAACTTCCAATACTCCCAAGAGGACCCGAAGAACTACAAAGGTTGTGATTTCTTCATTCATTCTTTTGTTGGTGTTTTAATATTTCAAAAACTTTCAAGAAGATCCTTGGTGGGTATAATTTTTTGTGTTATTTTTGAAATATTGAAGTCTTTCGTTTGCCATTTTAATATTTTTTGAAAATTATTTTGAAACAAAACCAAAACAAGACCTATTAGGTTATGTTATCTTAGGCGAAGCTCGTGGGTGAGGCGTATGTTTATGATGTTAGACTATTAGCTTGGGTTTGGTTTTTTATCCATGTGTGAAGTTGTCAGATATGGAGATGGGTTGTGGGTTCCTTCCATCCGTTTACCAGTAAGATGACTCAAGGTCAAGGAGGTCCTGGTCAGATCCGAACAGTGAAGTTTTAGTCAGTGTGATTGAGGTTTGGGTGATGCTATCTACTTGGTAGCCATGAAGGGTGTAGATGTAACACCTGGTTTTAAAAGTATTTTGCTGACCGGGGTTGTGGCTCAATTATCATTGCCACATGGTTTAGTGCCTTTGAAAATGAAGGATTCGGCCCATTCCGGATGTGGGTATTAGGGTATACAAGATCCAATTTGATTGTGTCTTCGGAGGCCAAGGATATAATCGTATATTGACATCGGTCTTCTAAGGATTTTAGGTTCCTGTTAGAAAAGTTTTTAGGTAAGGGTGAGTGGTTAGAAGCATAGGGCTTCTCGCCAACTTTTTATGGATATAAAGTTCGTTGGAAACGGACCTAGGATGAGGGAGTTAAGATACTTTGAACTTATTGGCATAATTGGTCCCTGGACGGAAACGTTTGCAACTCAGCCTACATATGCAAGGTGAAAAATGTGTGACTACGCCCAACATAAGATAGGGTACGCCTATCGTAGTACCAGATAAATGAAACGCAGGATAGGAGACGTACGCCCAACGTATAGGGAGTACACCCAACATATGTTCAAGATTCTCAAAACCCTAATTTTAAGAGTTGGCTCACTATTTAAATCATCTTAAGTTGAGGGGGTACGCCTATCTCTCATTTCCCAATGCCTCAAACCCAAAATTTGAGTGGTAGCTTCATCCAAGAGTGTTGTGAGCCATATAGGTGCATTTTTGGTGGATCTTGGTGCATTTCAAGAAGTGGAGGGTTAGTACAATGTAGTGGTTTAAGGAAGGACTATTGGATTTGGACTTCTTGCTACATATTCAGCTCATAGAAGGTAAAAAGTTATGAGCTTGATCACTAGAAGTTTATAACTATGAGTATGTGGGTTTTTGGTACCATTTTGACCTCAAGAGCAAGATCTAGTGGTTAGACACCACTCTAGAAGCTTTGTCTTGCCACCCTTAGCAGATCTGAGATCACAAGTTAATAAAAATGGTTACTTGAGGCTGAGATATGGTCCATGCATCTTCTAGATGGATTAAGATGGGTATTAATGGGTTAAGTAGGTCATTGGGTGTAACAACCCGAAGTTGTTCATCGCCAAAACCCGTTCTACCTGAAAAATTCGCCGTTATCAAATTCGTTCCGTTTTATCTTGGGTTAAATTATTTAAACTAATATGTTTATTATAATTTAATAAGTGTCTAAACCACTTAGGAACTCATGTAATTAGCCCAAAATAATTATTTCATAAGTTTTAGAAACGTCCCCGCCGAGTGATGGAAACTTAATCGGGTGCGACCTAAAACCTCGTTTAATGCTGGTATCGGGTAGAATTCCACCATGTCCAAGTTTTAGGACATATATAAACGTGTTTAAGCACCTATTTGAAGTTTTTTCTTCCTCTCTCTACTCTCTCTCTAACCTCTCTCCTAAATCCAAGTTTAAGGGTCCAAAACTCAATTTTAAGGCCTCAAATACCTAAGGTACCTTCCTAACCTTAATGTATAGCATATTTGGCTTCCAAATTCGGGATTTAATCATGATTTAAAGCCTTGAATGTGAGTTTACGGTCATGGATTAAGCTTAGGCAGTAAACTCATAGTTAAGGGGTTTTTAAGCTCTAAAACCCTTCCTAAACACAATTGGACTCTAGATATGACTTAATGACTTCATGAAAAGGACTTATAACAATTTAAACATGGATTTTGATGGATTTGAAGGAGTTTATGGCCAAGGCACAAGCTTGGGCCGTAAACTCATATTTATGGGGTTTTCTTGACCTTAAACCCTTTCAAATCACTATTAAGGCTTAGATATGAATTATAGAATATTGGTATTAGCATTTGGACACTTGAAACATAATTTTTTAGGGATTATTGTGAGTTTACGGCCAAGGCAAGTGCTTGGGCCGTAAACTCCTTAAAAATTGGTGTAAATTCATTTTAAAGTGTCAAAAAGCCCCTATAACACCTCTAAAGCCTTGGAATGAATTTTAGAAGTCCATGCAAACAAGTTTTTGGCTTTAGAACACATGGAAATACTCTCTAAGAGAGTTTACGGTCATGAGAGGGATCTCATAGGCCGTAAACTCCAAAAATCTCTTCAAAATATCAAGAAAATGCATGTAGAGCCTTGAAACAATTTTTCCAATCACATGTGATTTGTTTTAGCATCATTTAACACCATTTTCATGATTATTAAGGAGTTTACGGCCAGGAGCCTATGATAGGCCGTAAACTCCCATAAATAAGTCATTTTGATGTTTTAAATCTATTCCAAGCCTTTGAACCAAACCTAGAAAAATGTCCTTAAGTGTTACAAGCCATTTTGTGCCATAACTCACCCCACCATGAGTTTACGGCCGTAAACTCATGGGTAGAGGGTCATGTGGCTGTAAACTCCTTAAGGAGTGTTCCTTTGATGTCCCAATTCAATATCCTAACTATATGTGTCCCTAAATGTCACCCGGGTCCCTCCAAACACTTGTATCGGAGTGTTTTCGCGACTAGAAGTAATTGTCCTTATCAAGTAATCAATCTAGGTCCTAATTAGATACAAATGTGTATCTTTACATTATAATTAGGAACCTCGTGTGTTTGCAAGCCCCGTACCAACACTTAGCATCCAAATCGTCACATTTCTCGTCCGATGAGTTCATACCCCTACGCCCTTTTCTGTGTTTTTCAATGTTTTCAGGGGGGAATACAAGCAAATTATAACTGTTTTCAAATCATAATATTGATATGTTTCAAATATATCTGACAAACTTATAAACTCTTTTACTCCTTATGTATTATGTTGAGCATAAGGAATGATTTATCAATTACAACTAAATGTATTTTAGTTAAGAAAATAACCAAACTAATCAAATTATTATGGGAATAATTTGGGGTTCTTTACTGTTCGTTTTATCATATACTGATATGTATATAAAGTTATTAGATAAACTATGTCTTATTCAGTTTATCTCCGTATCATTTGAATGTATTGTCAGATAGTTTCATTGTATGTATCTATATTCGCTGTATTACGTTTCATAATCTTCTGTATGTTGATATCGTATGAGAACCCTGTGAATAGTTTAGTACTAGTTTGTGAGATAGTCACAAACCTTTATGGATGATCAGTAAATCCTCCCCGGAAGTGTAACCAGAGTCTCCTGGAGGGAGAGCGAGGAATTTGTGAATAGATCTATTCGGGACTGACAATCCCACACCTTAACTGCTAGCTACAATTAGGTGGGCACGCCTGGGGTGACAAATTTCTGGATATCATTCGACATCTGACTAACATCAAGGAGGTCTCGTTGTCGTATTAGCATGGTTACCCGACTCACAACATGTATTAATATAAGT